CCTCCTCCTCCTCACCGAGATCCGGAGCTCCGCTCTCTCTCCCTCCGGCCCTCCCTCCACTCTCTCCCGGCGCAACAATGGTGCCCCTCTCCCTCCCTCCCGATGGTAGCCCCTCTCGCGCGGCCCCTGCTGCGGCGCTCCGTGGTGGAGCTCGCGTGGCCCCCACAGCGGAGCTCGTGCGGCCCCTGCAACGGCGCTCTCATGAGGAGGCGGCGGGATCCAGTGCTCCCCTACAGCGGTGATGCTCCCCTACAAGCGGCCAACGAGATCCGGCCTGAGGAGGTGGCGGCACAGAGCAGGTGGCTCTCCTCCAGCGCGGACCTCTCCGGGCAGGGGCAGCGTGGATCCAGCGTGGACGGCGTGGATCTCCTCCTCTGTGGCGGATCCGCTCCCCGCGTCCTCCCTCCCTCCCTTCTTCGGTGGATCTCCAGCGAGCGATGTCGAACCCCATCCCTCTCTCTCTCTCTCTATCGACCACTAGTGGGCCTCGGGCTGGCACGACCTGCGAAATTGGCCGTGCTTCTTGGGCCGGGCCGACACGAAAATCGGCCCATAGTGCCATGCCTGGGCTAGAGGCACGGCCTAGGAGGCACGGCGTGCGGTGCCAGCCCGTTGGCTATTGGGCCGTGCTTTCATGGGCCCGTGCCATGCCGAGCCAATTGGCCATCTATGTGGCCGATAACCACATACACATCAAACCAACGACACGATGGCCATCAACCACAAACACATCAAATCAACGGCATGATGGCCGACAACCACATACAAATGCTACGATGATCACAATAGGAGCTTGTTCTTAACTTTAAGACGTTGCGACAAGAAAATGCATCTTCATGACGGAACTGATCAATTACACTGAACTAAAATGAACCATATGAACTGTATATTGCAAGATATCATGGACTAAAAACACAACAAGATGCTAGTAACTAGATAAAGCAATTGATATTATCACTTTTGTATCTATGGTACAGTTAGTAGACTACCATGACCAATGTGCCTCCGCTATATATCATGCAATTGATATTCTCACATTTCAGATTTAGGTCAGCAAGAATTACAAGATGGTCACCTTAGCTGCTGGTTGCCAAACTATAGGACGCACTTGTACAAACATGTAGCAATTGATGCATAACATAATCAACAAACAAATTATTTATTTTCAAGCCTGCCGATCGGACCAACAGCGATTTCTTGTTAGCTATCACATGTCAGGCCAAAATGATGTCAAAAGGGGTGAACGGCAGGGTCCAGGTGAAATTTCAGCGTATAAAAGACATTCCTCCATAATAGGAGCAGGCAGAATGTTGGGTGGATTCGGCAAGCGAGGCAGGTGAATTTCGCGGTGGCCGGAGTTGACTAGTACTAGTAGTAGAAAGCAGCAGGAAACAAGGAAGCGGAGAAGGATGGAAAAGGTGTCAGTTACCTCGGCGTGGAAGGGCGGGCGGGCGGGGCATTGTAGGAACTGGCGCGGTGATTCCTTCCCTAAGAAGACCTAGTATAGCAGAGCATTGAGATGAGAGTGCATGATTTGATACACTACTCTAGATTAGAAGAAGAAAAAAGAGAGAACGAATTTGGAGCGGGATAGGCGGACGGCGGGAGCAGCAGTAGAATAGGCACTATACCTGGAGGAGAGCAGCATAGTGGGAGTGCGTGCTACGACAATGGTGAGGAGATGGATGGATGGACACAGCGGAGCACAGTCCCAAATCGAAATCGGAATGCTGGCGGCAATGGTAAGGAGATGGATGGATGGACGGCGCGCGGGAGGTCGGCATGGACGCGCGAGGCTAGGAGAGGGCACCGGGCGCCAGCCAACGAGGGGTGTCGGCCGCCGGGCACGCGTAGGGCCAGAGGGGACGACAGCGGTCGCGGTGTTGGGCTTCCGAGGCGGTGGTGGCGTTGAGCTTCCACGGCGACGGTGGGCTTCCGCGGCGGCGTGGTGTGGGCGGGCGGCGCCGGGGGCTGCTGTGGGACCAGCGACGTCGGCGGGTGTGGGCGGGCGGCGGCGTGTGAGACCAGCAGCGCTGGGGTCTGGTGTGGGGGGGCGGTGGGGCCAGGCGGTGGTGTGGGCGCGTGGCTGTGTGTCAAGGTTTGAGTGTGCGCGTGCGTGTGCGGCCGAGCACGCGGCTGTGTGTCAAGGTTACTAGGGAGGTTTGCCGAGTGCCCGCGATCTAGCACTCGGCAAACCCCCATTTTTTTTAAATTTTCAATACCGAAACTTCGTATGTGTGGGGCCCATAAAGATTTTTGCCGAGTGTCCCAGATTTGACACTCGGCAAACTCCCATTTTGTTTTTTTTAATTTTCAATACCTAAACTGCGTATGTGTGGGGCCCTTAAAGATGTTTGCCGAGTGTTCCAGATTTTACACTCGACAAACCCATCTTTGCCGAGTGCCAGATTAGGGGCACTCGGTAAACCCACTTTTTTCATTTTTCTTCGTTTCCTTCTTTTTTCATTTGATTTTTCTACCAATATTATTCCATTATAATATACCAAATTTTAACATGGAGTACCACATGTTTTATGTAGAGAGTAGAAAAGGTTTCAAGGCCAGAAGTGAAAAAGTTATTATTTCATGCAGTTTGTCGCTCAAATTCAATGTATATCAATTAAAATTATATAATTGCACTTAACAAATTAAAATTATCGAACGAATCTAAAAAATTACCAAAATTACACACGAATCAATCTATGTTCTCTATTGCCTATACAAAAAGTTCTGAAGTCAAACCCCAATTCGATCGTCACTTTGACTCCAAATCTTATCGAATCATTCTCTATGCTACGATTCTTCTGCTGAGATACTTCAGGTTTGTAAATATCGTACGTGACAGATTGTCCGAAACCTTTTCAATTTTTAACCATGGCCTCCATATATGATATCACGAGATCTTGACAAATCTCATGATTTTCATACTTCGTTTGTTTTTTTAAGAATTTAAAAATCATTCGACCACACGTTCGTGGTTGGGTTTCATGAACAAGATGTTCAAAATTTCCTTTCATTTCCCGGATAAGGCCTCACACGGGACTCAATAACATGAATATCATTTTTCTACTCAATTTATTATATTATTTGAATCACTTGCAGTTCGATTTTGACTTATACCAAAAAATTCCTTTAAACGTAATAAATTAATTAAATATATCAAACGGATCCAGAAATACATCAAATCTTAACATGGAGTACCACATGTTGTATGTAGAGAGTAGAAAAAGTTTAAAGGTCAGAAGTGAAAAAAAACTTATTATTTCATGCAGTTTGTCGCTCAAATTCAATGTATATCAATTAAAATTCTATAATTGCACTTAACAAATTAAAATTATCGAACGGATCCAAAACATTACAAAAATTACATATGAATCAATCTATGTTCTCCATTGCCCATACAAAAAGTTCTGAAGTCAAACCCTAATTCGACCGTCACTTTGACTCCAAATCTTACCGAATCCTTCTCAACGCTACGATTCTTCTTCTGAGATACCTCGGTTTGTAAACATCGTACGTGACAGATTGTCCGAAACCTTCTCAATTTTTTACCACGGCCTCCATGTATGATATCACGAGATCTTGACAAATCTCATGATTTTTAAACTTCATTTGCTTTTTTAGAATTTAAAAACCATTCGGCCACACATTCGTGGTCGTATTTCCTGAACAAGATGTTCGAAATTTCTTTTTATTTTTCAGGTAAGGCCTCACACCGGACTCAATAACATGAATATCATTTTTCTACTCATTTTATTCTATTATTTGAATCACTTGTAGTTTGAAGTTGACTTATACCAAAAGATTCCTTGAAATACAATAAATTAATTAAATATAGCATACGGATCCAAAAATATACCAAATCTTAATATGGAGAGCCACATGTTGTATGTAGAGAGTAGAAAAAGTTTCAAGGCCAGAAGTGAAAAAAAGTTATTATTTCATGCAGTTTATTGCTCAAATTCAATGTATATCAATTAAAATTATATAATTGCACTTAACAAATTAAAATTATCGAACAGATCCAAAAAAAATTACCAAAATTACACATGAATCAATCTATATTCTCTATTGTCTATACAAAAAGTTCTGAAGTCAAACCCCAATTCGACCATCACTTTGACTCCAAATCTTATTGGATCCTTCTCAACGCTACGATTCTTCTTCGAAGATGTTTTGGTTTGTAAGCATCGTACGTGATAAATTATGCGAAACCTTCTTAATTTTTTTACCACAACCTCCACATATGATATCATGAGATTTTGACAAATCTCATGATTTTCAGACTTTGTTTGCTTTTTTAGAATTTAAAAACCATTCGGCCACATGTTCGTGGTTGTGTTTCCTAAACAAAATATTTGAAATTTCTTTTCATTTTTCGTAAGGCCTCAAAATGGACTCAATAACATGAATATCATTTTTCCACTCATCTTATTCCATTATTTGAATCACTTGCCGTTCAAATTTGACTTATACCAAAAAATTCCTCTAAATGCAATAAATTAATTAAATATACCAAACAGATCGAGAAATATACCAAATTTTAACATGTAGTACCACATGTTGTATGTGGAGAATAGAAAAAGTTTGGAGGACAGGAGAGAAAAAAAAGTTTTGGCTTTGCCGAGTGTCTATAAAATACACTCGGCAAACTTATAATTTTGCTGAGTGCTGAGGAAAAACACTCGGCAAAGTAATACTTTTGCTAACGGCCGGCACGCCGTCAGACGGCCGTCGCACGTGCCGGTCACGTGATAGTATTTTGCTGAGTGTCAATTTGTTGCCGAGTGTCTGATATACTACACTCGGCAAATCGGGTTTTTTACCGAGTGCAATATGTATGCCGAGTGTCTTCTTCGCTACACTCGATTTGCCGAGTTCCCTGTGGAATGCACTCAGTCGAAAAAAACACTCGTGCGCGTGAGGGATTCATCTCGGAGCTTGGGCTCGACTCCGTCGACGAGGAGGGGGAGGAGGTGCCTTCAGTGGTCCGCATCGTGATGCAGGAGCAGGACCTTTTGATCATCGTCCTGTTGCTCGAGCGCAACTTTCTCCAGCTGGCCTACTACCTCGTCTACGACCGCAGCGACGCATCCCTCTCCATGGTCAGCTGGGAGCCAGATTCAGCCATCGCTATGTTTAGGGCCTTCGCCAAGCGCACCTCCTACGGCGCTTACCAGCTGTTCTTCTTGGCTTGTGAGCCTGATGATGGCCGGCTGCCCCTGGCTTCGAACACGGATCCGCCGCCCTTTCTCTGCGTGTTCTCTCCGGTGACTGGGACGAACCAAACTTGTGCGTGGGAGATGAGGAGGACATTGAGGTGGAACATGCCGGTTAGCGTCTTCGAAAGATTCAGGATGGACGCGACCTTCTCTTTTCAAGGCAAGGGCTTCTGGACCGATCTCCTCTTTTCAAGGCAAGGGCTTCTGGGCCGATCTCTCGCAAGCCCTCATCTACTGCGACCTGCACACCGCCAGTGACGACTCTGCCGTGGATTTCAGCTGGATTGAGTTGCCTGGCGAGTGCCAGCTTAACTTGGAGGAGATGTTGGACTGCCCTCAGCCGATGAAGAAGGTGACCCGCACCATAGCCTGCGTTGGGGATTCCATCTGGTTCGTCTGCATTCGTCGCGGCAAGCACCATACTGATGACTCGGTGACGATGTGGACTCTGGAACTGCCTGGGGGGCAGTGGAAGAATGAGGCAAGGTTTCTTGTCAGAGACCTCTTGAGGTTCGACGGTTTCAAGGAGGCGGGGTTGCCAGAGGCGGAGTTGGGGTACCCTCTCCTCACGGCGGATGGTGCCCTCTGCTCCCTTATAAGCAGTACTTTTTCAGTTAACGAACAGTATATTTCTCTCATAATAAATCAGTTAATAGTATTTTTAGTCATGGCTTATCAGCCAAGCGAACAGGGCATATAATATATCAGTAACTCTTGGCTGTGCTCCAGGCTTGTTGCATTGGTTATGTTTGCTGATTTGCTGATTTCGATTAACGTTCAAGGGTCTTCTTTCCATAGCTCATAAAGGTTAATAGTATTTTCGTTGTAGTAGGAATGACCAAAGTAATACATCTGGTAATGCCATGTTTGGTAGTGGTTGAACTGCAAATAAAATTAAATCTTGATGGCTAGAGAAATTATGTGGGAAAATTCATGCATTTCTACATTGGGGTTCAAGGGGTTATTGAGGAAAATTGGGCTATCAACTTGTTACACTTTACCTTGTAAGATTGAGGACCGCGAGCAGGATATAAACCATTTTAGCAAGTTTGCTAAAATAACTGGGCCAAATATTGGTTGGATGATCATGGTGTAAATCTAACTAATTTTTCATTTGGTTTTCATTTTTAGTTTCCACTCAGATGCTTGGGAAGCACATTGCACAAATACTAACATAAAAGGTAACCACTTATGTTTTCTGGTCATTTGTTTAATAAAAAAGAAAAAAAATCTAGAACTGGTCAACAGTCGTAAGATGTTCTCTGTTGGTTGACCGCAGCTGGATAGTTGGCAATTTTGCAGCTAACCATTTGCCCGTGGACAGCCATGTTCAAACAAGGATAACACATATGTACATCACTGTTTTTTTTTTGAACTACATCACTGTAATTTTAACTACATAGCTGAACAAATCCTTGTCCTCCATTTGAGCTTTTTAAGGGGTGTTATCAATCTTAACATCATCCATTTGGTGGGTTTATGGAAGCTAGGCTGAACCTAAAGATATGTTTAATTTTTCCGGCTTGTCTTGCGCGCCTAGGCGGGGTGTAACAGTACGACACATGAGCTAAATCTGCAAAAGGTCAAGTGATGCTTTACTTAAACTGATCCTTGTTATGATCCCAATGCTGAGTGAACAGTAATAAATTGATGTGACTTCGGAGGTTTGCAAAGGTGCAATCATGTTCAGAATCATTTTTTTACTCTCCGTGTGGTTTAGTACCTGATGAGAAACAAAACGATGACTGAACTTGCTGTGTTCATTGGCTGATTTTTGGGTGTTTGGCGGTGCGCGGCACAGTAATTGTGCAGGACTTTAATAAATAATTGACTCTGACTCGCTCTTATGTCACGTTTAAGAGCATGTAAAATAAAGGACTGTAGATGGGTTGTATCCTAAATGAGAGGAAGGGAGGAGAGAGAAGAGAAACATGTTGTAAGTTTACGATCAGCTTATCTATCTATTTATGCTCTCTCTCTTTATATATATCCTCTCCGTCCCCAAATAAATAAATTCTTAGAATCCGTGTCAATCAAACTTTTTAAAGTTTAACTATTTTTATAGAAAAGATTAACAACATCTATATGTCATAAAATGAGTATCTTTGTAAAAATATATTCTATTATTAATCTAATGATATTAATTTGATAACATAAGTCTTAATGTTTTTTTTTCAGAAATTCGGTTAAAGTTTAAAAAGTTTGACCTAAGGCAACTATAGTAATCTATTTATTTAGGGACAGAGGGAGTAATATAAAAGAGCAAAATAATTGAAAATATTGTTTACCAAAAAAATGCTTTCCTACCTTACATAAGAACCGTTGGATGATTGGAGTCTTATCTAATGGTACTTGTTAATGGTACCGTGGGTCCATAAGACGTCTTACGTGATCTTAAGCATTCCTGCCGGTCAATCCTGTTCGGCTGGTATTAAAGCCGGCTAATAAGTCGGCTGAAGCTGTTTTGTTGTGAGAGAAAAATATTGTAGATTCTAGCTGATAAGCCAGCTGATAAGTTCAAGCGAACAGGACTCGCCCACTTTCCCATGCTGTTTTTTTTTTTTCACCAGCCATTTGTTTACCCGGCCACATGTACCCACGGGCATGGGCCATAGTGCGGTTGCGATGCCCTCGCGTCCTCCCGCATCCATATAGTGCGGTTGCGATGCCCTTGCATCCTCCCCGCATCCTCCCGCATCCATATAGTGCGGTTGCGATGCGATGCCCTCGCGTCCTCCCGCATCCATATAGTGCGGTTGCGATGCCCGTGGCCTCCCGCATCCGTGGCTTCGGCGCCTCCCTTCTGTGGGTGGTTTTCTTTTGTTCCCATCAGCACAGCCAATCCTCTTCTCTCCATGGGTATCATCCTCTCTATGCGTCTCTCTTTCTTACTAATACATTGCTCGTGCTAACGCGGGTCACATTAAGTCCAAAGTTAATTCCGTTACTAAATTTGAAGTACTTTTACTAAATTTGAAGTACTTAGCTAGCGCTACCGGCCACACATTTAACCAAACTTTTAACCAAAGCCTTTTACTCGGCCTTGTCCCAGAGAACAGAGGGCTGCGGACGGTGCGAGTGCTCTCTTCTCCTTCACCTATGTCATTGTTGGCACTGTTCAACACGTCACATGTCTGGGCACCCAGAGATACAAGTTGTGAACATGGAGAGACATGAGAAATTTCATGTCAACAATGTCCGAGAGGGTTCGGTAAAAATAGAAAACAAGATAAAAATTTTAAAAAATAAAACAAATAATCAGATTCATTAACATTCATGTCTTATATATTGTTATGTAGTCATATTGACCAATCTGTTTGGTTCAGTGTACAGTTGCTTGTTAGAACCCTTCACCAGTTTGTGATCTACCGATATTTTGTTCTTCCTACATACTACTCGCCAACTGACCATTATTCTTTTTCTGTTGTGAATTCAGTGGCTAAAACATTTTCATGGCCATATGGTTCATAAATCACAACCGTTTGGCGAAGATAGGGCCTTGAGTTTTGGTGGATTGTGCATCTCACCGAGGCCCGTACATCATTCGATCAAGTCATGCCGGTTGTGCAGTTACACATACACTGCATAAAACCTCATTCGTGTACATGTAAAAAGAGCCCCCTCCTATAGTATAGCTTGGCCACGTTTGAATGGGGATGGGGAATATGATAGGGATAGGGAAATATTGTATCTTAGCCATCCGTTCTTCGTACCCCATTTAATCCTAGTCATTCATTTATTTCTCTTTCCCTATCCTAGCCCCTATATCCCAATATCCGAACAGCACCTAAAACCAGCGGAGATTCATCGTGTGATATATGTCATATGTGCAAAGAGAGATGTGTTCAATTAATTAATTTATAGTCGAGAGTTTGACCCTGAATGGTATATCCTTGTTAGTTATATTATGAAAGTGCATCTAGCCCTTTTAATAGGTTTTGGATGATTGGATAACACCGTGATTAAAGGTCTAACCCGTTTGCTAAGTGTGGACAGATAATAGGTTATCTCACATGTACTTAATAAAGGCCAAAATGATGTATTATTGGAAACAATCTAGTTCAAACACAAGACAACAATGCAAATGTAATTCATGCGAGGCTTATTTATTGTTGGATTTCAAAGACTCGTATGAAAGCAAGCACGTTAAAAAATAATTAATGAGACATGAAGGATTACATATTGAATGGTCTCACCTTTGGAGCTTGCTAAATAAAAGACAAGTATGCAAATGAGTTTAATGAATGATTTGACACCAAGTGTGACTAGATAGCTTGAGATGGTGAAGATAGCAAGGAAAGGCTTCGAGGTACTGAAACGATCCCGATTTTCCATGAAGGGAAAATCCACAGATATGAATTATAATGTGATAGTCCAGGAGACCAAATCATCACATTATCAAATAACAGTTGATACCACGGTTCATACATAGCGGAAATATAAGTTTATAAGGTATTACAACACTTGGTGCATCGTTATACTAGCGGAAAAGCACACAGAACTTCATCAGAGTAGACGTAGGCGTCGGTGGGTGAAGGCTCCTCCTTCACGGACTATCATCAGAGTTGACGTAGAGCGTCGATGGGTGAAGGCTCCTCCTTTACAAGCAATCATAAGAGTAGGCGTAGAACATCAGCGGGCATAGCTTCATCTTTATCTCCTCAACTAAACTTGAGCGCAGGCACGAGACCATCTAATCCTTCTAATCTCCATGGTTGTCATTGCAGATGACATCCAAAACCTGTCAAATATCTTTCAGTATGATTTGTACTGGCCACTAGCTCCCACCCTATGCTTTGCATATGCTATGTGGTAAGTGGAATACAAGGGTAGAGCAAAAGGCCTATCTATGGTTGGAGGTTTCCTATGCAAGTTCATTTATATTTTATAATAGTTTATCAAGTTTTAACTCATCTCATCCACACATTTACCCATTCCATCACACACATCTCACCACACTCTCACTCTCTAAGCGGCAAGGATGACTCCCACTCTTGATTGTGCTCCAGACTTGTTGCATTGGTTATGTTCGCTGATTTCGATTAATGTTCAAGTATGTTCTTTCCATAGCTCACAAAGGTTAATAGTATTTTCGTTGTAGTAGGAATGACCAAAGTAATACATCTGGTAATGCCTTGAAGTTTAGTAGTGGTTGAACTGCAAATAAAATTAAGTTTTGATGGCTAGAGAAATTATGTGGGAAAATTCATGCATTTCTACGTTGGGGTTCAAGGGGTTATTGAGGAAAATTGGGCTAGCTACACTTTACCTTGTGAGACCTCGAGCAGGATATAAACCATTTTAGCAAGTTTGCTAAAATAACTGGGTCAAAGATTGGTTGGATGATCATGGTGTAAATCTAAATAATTTTTCATTTGGTTTTCATTGCTAGCTTCCACTCAGATGCTTGAGAAGCACATTGCACAAAAACTAACATATGAGGTAACCACTTATGTTGGCTGGTGATTTGTAGCAAAAAGGAAAAAAAATCTAATGGTCAATAGTCGTAAGATGTTCTCCGCTGGTTGACCAAGCTGGATAGTTGGGCAATTTTGCAGCTAACCATTTGCCCGTGGACAGCCAGCCATGTTCAAACAAGGATCAGCCCACATATGTACATCACTGTAATTTTAATTACATTAGCTTAACAAATCCTTGTCCTCCATTTGATCTTTTTCTAAGTAGTGGTGTTAACAAACTTAACATCGTCCCTTTGGGAAATATGTCAGCGTGAGGTTTGGAGGGGCTAGGGATTTTCTCCCTTTACCTCTGGGGAATCTGTCAGCGTGAGGTTTGGTATGGATGCAATGCGGATGTCCCTGAACCTACAGATATGTTTAATTTTCCCCCGTTGTCTTCCTCCCCTAGGCAGCGTGTATCAGTACGACATGAGTTAAATCTTCAAAAAGTGATGCTTTACATGAACGGATCCTTATAATAGATTCATGTGACTTCAGAGGTTTGCAAAGGTGTACCTGATTTGATGAGAAATAAAACGATGCCTGAATTTGCTGTGTCCATTGGCTGAATTTTGTTAAGGTGTGAATGTAAATGAACAAGATTGGAAGAACTTGTCTCTTTCAGTTATCTCTGAAATATATTTATAAAGTGAAGGGGTGTCACGATGGGACACGACTGTCACAAAGGACATGTTTTTTGGAAGTAAAATCTAACTATC